TCTCTTCTCTTCTCTTCTCTTCTCTTCTCTTCTCTTCTCTTCTCTTCCCTTCTCGCCACATTACTACTGCATAAACTCTGTTCCTTTTCCCTTTCTTAAATTTGACTCTGACAAACAGTTACACCACGAAGGAACAGGCAAAGGAAACAGCTGGAACTGTGACCAAAGGGCAAGGATGACTGATATTTCACACCTTTTTCTTTGGTTCATAAATCCAATTCCAGATTATAAGTGCTCATAACTGCCTACCTAAATTAATCACGGTCATAAATGTACATCATATCATATAGCAGTCAGGCTTAATGGATTGTCTTTTACCACCACAAAGCTGTTTCTCTCAGCTGTTTCACCACAAACATTAATCTCAACTTCTTAATCAACCTTCTTTCATATGAGGTCTCATGTTACAAATTCCTCTCTTAGGTCTCTCATTTAAAGCCTTCTTTCATTTCTGCAAGACTGTCCAGCTCAGAAATTATTGTATCAACTTACTGAATCGAGATTTGTAATTTGTGGTTGCTCAACCCATTCCAATGAGCTAAAAACCTGCAGCATGTTCATGCAAGACACAATTACCTACTCTGAGATGCCAAGCCTCTTTATGTTCCATTGATGTGAACAGAAAATGAAGAATTTGAAAAAAAAAACCAACCTGGCCAAAGCCAGGTTGGTTACCAAATAAAACTACAAGCATTAGCTTTCAGATTGGATGTGAAGCGATGCTGAAGTAGTGCCATCAGCTTCTGGAAAATTCCTTTAATAAGGAGGCAGGAAAAAAAAGGCAGGCTTTTGCTCATAATGTTTTATTGAAATTTTATCATGTTTTTAGCAGTGGACAGACACCTCGTGCTTTTCGGTTTCTTATAACTAACAGATTCAAGAAAGTACACAAAGTAGAAGATTTTCAATGGTTGCGTGCTGAAGATGGAACAAAAGGAAAAATATCCTAAGTCAAAGTCTTTTACTCAACACAGGTCAACTTCTAAAGCTTTTACAAATATTCTTATTACTTTCTTTAAAAGTGAGGCATCCTGCATTCAAAATTACAACTGGCATGCCATGACCTTGCCATGAGTAAAAGTCAATTACAACAGAGAAAAATCTTTTGGAAGTCCTTCTCTTACGCCTCTTTTTGCTTTTTCAAAAAATAAATCAGTGTAAGTCATAAGTCATTATAAGTACATTTGATAATGTAGAAATTGAACCCAGTGAGAGAAATTATTCTAAAACTTGTTCTCTGTAATTAAATCTGTCGTTTTGGTAAAGTACTACCAGGTACACATTAGAGTATATACTACTAAACTGTACTAAACACAGGGGGGCAATCCTTCCCTTTTACATCAGAGATTTAATGCAAGACAGCATGCAAAATACTGAAAACCCTTTTACTATCATTTGTGCATTTTTGTATTTGTTTGGAAGGTGAATTGCAGCTATAGGAGAGGATGCAGTCAATCAGAAAGGTTATTTCACCAACAGGCCATTCAATAGCAATAAACTGTTACCAAAGTGAGCAACATACTGGGTGTAGTAAACAGTGCCATATCTCATAAATTTTGCATGTATGGATATGCTTTGTGACAATGCATCCACAATCACCCTAGAGTTGAACTAACCTTCACATGGAAATAGTTGGCAAAGTAGTTTGCAAAATCATTCAACTGGAGCATCTCTGAAATATCTATAAAGCATACTGAAGATACTGGATAAAGTATGAAGTGTATAGCAATTATTCATGAAGGAACATTTTATGGCTTTATGGTTTGGTGGCTTTCAGAAAGTACCCTTGAAATATATTGCCAGCAAGTGATAAAATCACTAGCATAAGGTAGTATAGAAATTTTCTTGCTTCAGGTTGAACGACCTTTCCCAAATACATTCTGTAGATAGAACTTGTTTTAAAAATGGATTAATTTAGCAGTAGCAAGCATGACAACTTGTTCTAATAGAATATGCATTGTTAGTTTTCCCTTTTAGGAAGGTTTCATCTATGGGAGTGCATGTCTCTCTCCATAGGATCTATTCACACACTGATTTAATAACTGCTTTCCCTTCCTGCCCAGAACAGCCTGGGTTTCTATCACAAGTGGTTTATGTTATCTCTTAAATTCAGTTTGCAGCACTTTTGATCTAAGTACCCCCACCATGTACGGGATTTATACACGTTTCATGTTAGGTAATCCGCATAACTAATCCTAATTTGGATGTACTTCTTTCAAAATGATGGACAATTGTGGATTTAATTTAAACCCTCTGACACTTACTTCTCAGTCTGGCGTGCGAGTGTTTGGCAAAATATTTTTGGACACGTCATCAGAAGAATTATCTGTTTGTACATACACATCAGTAGAGATATCCGTGAGTTAGAGATTTACATTTTCCAGTTGAACGTTAGAACGTTCTGTGAAATGCCTAATTTTCACCTGCTTTTTTGAGTTGAAAGACATTGCTCTTTGTTATGTCAAACTCCCATAATTTTCTTCTGAGCTTTTACAGATGTCTCCCTCCCATTTGTCACCTTCCTCTCAGCTGGTTGTGTTAAACCCATAAACTGCTCTATCTGTAGACCCTCTAATCTTTCCATCGTCTTTGTTTCCTTCGCTGGGATTCCTTTCAATCTGTGATTTTTAACACTTTTTGGTACATACAACTGTGAGTCATTCAAGTTTAGACAGAGTTATGAATGTTAACCTCCATAGGTAATACAGCTCTGAAAGGCATTATATATATTACACTATAAAATTATCCCAAACTGCAGATAGATACCTTTATGTAAACATTATGGGTATAACGCTAATAAAAGCCACAGAATCAAATCCCAGCCCTCTGAAATCACAGGGATTCTTCTCATCATCATCAACGTGGTCAACATTACTATGTAGATTTTTTTACAGTGGAGTCAGCCTTCTGTTTTGTAATCTATCATTTTCAGTCAATTTGCCAGTCCAAAATTGAGTTTGCGTGCAATATATTTATAATGCAGGGACACAAATACTCTGAAAGACTCATTCGCGAGTCTCTTTGCCAAAATCTGATAGAAAGGAAATTTATCTGACTGCAGAATTAAATTTCTAGCTCTTGCCTTCATCCCATTGAGATTTACAAAAGAAAAACAGGAAACCAATCAAGTTCTTCACATGAATAGCAGTAGACAGTTCTGACAGTCTGGCATGCATAGCTTCTCTCTCCCTTGCCCTCAAAAACATATTTCACTTCACTACAAGATTTCCTAAGTCAACAGCAACTTAGGAATTAACTTGAATTAACTTGGATTTCTTTTGTTCTTCTGTTCTTGTGATGTCTCTGCTACATCAGTGAATCTGTAATCATTGTAGTCTGATTCTTCTTTCTTTATATCTTCCTTCTTTTAACATTTGAATCTTTTTCTTTTCTTCTCTTTTTTTTTTCCCCTTTCCAGAATTTGCAACTATGGTGGCTGAATCATAAAGGCTTTAAGCAATGCAAACCCTCCACCCATCCTTCACTGCCCAATTGCAACCACCTCCCGCTGACTGCTTTGGCTCCTGTTCTATTTATTTATGTTATTTTATACTCAGCTCTGTTCTCTGCAATCCTGCAACTCTGTAACTGTGCTGAAAGACACTGTTAAAATAATAAAGGTCACATCAATCTGGGCTCCACTCTCTCTCACTATCACTTGTTTCTTATTTCATGTAGTTTTGGCAGACGTTGAGTGAAAATTTTCTTTATTTTATTTATTTATTGCTGACACCCCTGCTTCTTTGGGATAATTATTTGGGATAAAACTTGCACAAAATGAGTCATTCAGTTCAGGCTCTGAATTGTGGCAGAACTGACTGCATTATTTTTAAGCCATAGATGGATGCATACTCATAGCCTGGAAAATCACTAGCAATGGCAATCACCCAACTTCATTTGGCAGTTTGTTCTTCTGACTTAATCAGTTGTTATAGCTAAAATGAATTTCCTACATGTTAACCTACATCTTCTTAATGCATTCCGGTGACTGCTAAACTATTTGTATAGTTTGCTAAATCTGCCTCATGCAGGGGGATTTTAAGATTTGACAAGAGTATCAGTAGTTGCTCATCATGCACAGGGATAACTTTGTAAAGTGTTGAAGTGTGATCACTTTTGAAACACAGGGTATATTTATTAGCAGTGTTATACAAGTACCTGGGACAGAAAGGATGCATTACTCAAAAGAGACAACATTATGTATGTGAGGAAAGAAGCATCAAGATTTGGCTGTGATGCTAATGCTGACATTCCCGCTGTTAAACTGGAGTATCAAATACGTTTATATTAAAAAGTGTATCTTCTACAACTATCAAAAACAGTGAACATCTTTCTTAGAGTTACATTTAGGAAACTGAGATTCAGACTACAGAAGCAAGTAGCCAACAGTAAGGCTATGACAGAGCAAAGAACCAAACGCTTCTTTCCCAAATCTTTGTCAGTAACTTTGAAACAAATCTACTGCTTTTTTTTTTTGTTTTGTTTTTAAATAAAAGTTTAGAGTGGAAATAAATCACTTTTAGACAACATTTCTCCCACATTGTGACAGAACATTGATTAACACCTCAATTAACAGGAAAGGTATCTTCCATTTCTTGATTCCAAACTACTCCCTGCAGCAATAATATCTCAATCCACTCTGATTATCATTAATCTCATATTAAAAAAAAAAAAAAAGGTTAAGATTGAAACTATCACCACCACGTTGTACAGAGCTCCATTCTCTGCCACAGCAATTGCTGATGCTACTTGCAAACCCAATAAACACTCCCTAAGTCCATCCTAGGTTTTCCCTCTACAGTCACTTACAAGGAAGACTTTTTGCTGAAGCTGCTGTTCACCCAAAAGAAATCCTCTAGTTTTGCACAATGTATATACGGATCTGAAAAATGTATTGATTTTTAAGTATCCAAATAAAGCAAATGAAAATGTACTGCAACGAAGAGAGATGGTTTATTTATTTTTTTTCTCGGCAGCTGCTGACCTCAAGTGGTAATGAGGCGTAATTGCAAAAGTACAGAGGCCCACAGAAAAAAATGTTAGTCCCACGAACACAGAAGCATCCCGAATAAAGATCCATTTAATCAAAGAAATACCATAAAAATCGTTATACAGCCAAAGGCTTTTATGTTCTCTGTCTGTCTTACATTTTAATACATCTTTGTGTGTGATTAAAAAAGCCTGTAATTTTATCCAGGACTTTGCCAAAAAAAAAAAAAAAAAAAAAAAAAAAAAAAGGCACAATAGAACAAATGGCAAATAATGAATCTACCAAGTTATTTACAGCACTCTATTGGAAATAAAGCAAGTTAAAGTAACTTTCATTGAGATATTTTACTGGTATAAAAGCCTGAAGACTCCAGTGATTCCTACATCAGTCTGTTTTCACACTAGTCCCTCAATCACCCCTGAACAAGCATCACTTAGGGTCTAATCAGCCTATATTTTTCCATTGGATAAGATTAAAAGAACTATCCTTTTACCTTCAGACAGAAAGAGTTACAATCAGAATACCACTTACAATACATTCAGAGACTTCCAACATAGCACCTTCACTTTTCATGGTAGACAGTACTTGATATTCTAAACAAGAACCAACATCTCACTATCCACACCTTTCGTTAGTTTGTGCAAGTACGCAGCCAGCATACCTGGGTCATCTACCCACACCATCAGAACTCTCAAACTCTGCTTTAAATCATTATTCTTAACTGGATTTCAAATTCAGCATTCAAACTTCAGCATTTTATGCCTTTAGCAGTAGAGGAAAAAAAAATACAGGTGTCTAAAAAAACCCACGTTGTCCTGTGATGTACAATTTCGTATAGAAAGATGTGTTAATTTGCACAGAAATTAAGCTTCTCTGAGAAACATCTACCTTAATTTTCTTTACTGGCATTATCATCTTTGTTATGAATATTAAATCCTCTGCAGTTTATTTTACCCCCCAGTTGTAACGCAGCAGAAGTTACCAAGCAAACAAACAAACATAGCAACAATTTCATCATCACATCAAAGATAAAATCTTAAATAAGCAACACACGTCCCTTCATCAGGTATAAAACCAGTGGCTTGAAACAAGACTCAACTGGATGATTTAAGATAAGAAAATTACTTTTACCCATACAAAGAAGATACTACTTGTTCATATTGATATTATATATTGCTAGAAAAGAAACTGAGATCTCTCTCAGGTGCAGCTCAAAAGGAAGAAGCAGATCCCCAAGTCATAGGCAAAATATGATTTCCTGACAAAGGACAAAACATCCAACAAAGAAGATCTACACTAACAGATCATCATCAACTCTTAACATTTCTAAGATCGCTGTCTGCCAGTACCAAATCTTTAACCAACAAACACATAATTGTTTATGCTTTACAAGGTCCTGCCAAGCTTTTAATAGAGTTTCATGGATCAGCAATTTCCCACATGCCTTATTTTTGGAACCAATGGACTGGAGGCCATAACACCTGTTCGTTCTGCAAAAACTGAGGTAGAATTTATATTTACAGTCTATCCACCGGTCACGAGCGTATCACTGCCTAACGTCCCATGAATGCCATCACTCTTCAGTTCATTGAAGAAAAGCTTTCTCATTTGCTTCTTTTGCCTCCTCTGACTTTGCATCTTCGAGTGAAGAGTAAGGACACTTTCCCCCAGATTCTAAATACTTTTGAACACTGGAAATGCATTCACACTCTCCAGCAACACCACTTGAACAAAGCCTCTAAGCATCGACAATATTCCATCTGAAACAGTTAATGCTGTTCTTGCTATGGAATTAAAAATTACATAATTTTGCAGGTTTTTTTTTTTAAATAAGTTTTGCCTCAACCAAACAATTCAACACTGAAGAGTGCAAATTTACACGAGGTTTCCTGAAGACACAAATTAGCCCACAGGATTTATACCAACGAGCGTAAAGCACAAAAGAAGTTCATTTGAATCTAAAATCCCAGGTGGGGATTTATGCTGTCAGCAGATAAAGAAAACAATTTTATTTATAAATTAGTTGCGAATGAAAGAGAAATTTCAGAGCATAAATCAAACTATCAAAATCAAGCTGTGATTAAAGTTTTTGCTGACATTTTTGTAAGAATGTCAAAGATGCAAGACTGTAGACTTCAGTACATGCAAGTCATTGGAACACCTCCCCTAGGTCCTGGCCTCTCTCATTGCTCAGTGTGTGCGAATGTGAATTGCTGCACAAACTCACCTTCATTCAGAAAGAATATTTTGGCAGATTCTCTTTCCCAAAGAGAAACACTCTTTAGAAATTCCACTCCTAAAACAGCTTCTCAATTAAATAAGTGAGAGCAAAGCAAAATGCTTCTGAAGGAGGTTAGCTGTGATAATGAGCGATCAGTTGTCAAAACCTTCCCACACTGTAGGATCTCCTACTGTGGGACAATTACTTCACATGGGAGGAGGTACATTTCTGGTTACTGCTCTCCTACTTAATAAAGTGACAAAGCTTGACAAAGCTTGGTATACATCTAAACACAAAAATTAATATAAATGCAAATAGTAGAGTCGCTTCTCCAGCTGCCAAATAAATAGAAGGAACTGCAATAGCTGCAAGAATATAGTGATACAAAAACAAAAGGATCTAAATAAAAACACTGGAAGGTACTTAATTAGGCAATATATCATGTAGCTAGAAAAGATTTTTTTTCATAAACTTGTTTGGTCTCCCATCTAGGAAAATCTAAGAGAAAGGATCTTGTCAGTGCCTGAATGAGAATGGCCAACTCATAATACTACAGGTTTTAATTCTAGGGGATACTCATCTTGAGCCATTAACAGCTCACCTACAAAAATACAGATGGTTTCACTCTAAGTGGTACCACGCTGGCATTAAAAAACAGATGCTCAAGCTGCCAACTGGAAAGAATACAGTAACTATCTGCTGATTCCAACTTTGCCACTTCAGAGCTTGAGCTGGAGAAAGTGAGGTCAAATGTCTAATAGGCACTAGATGGACAGGCCATGGGTTGCTGAAAAGCCAAATAATTTAGAACCATCTTTCTGTTTCGGAAATGTTGCCTGGAAGGGTACTTTGTGAATTTCAATGATTAGCTAACTTCATTTTCCAGTAGCTCCATAATGCAATGCTGTTTTAAAAATGTATCATTATATATGAAAATAGAAAGGTAAGAGTAAATTATCAAGCACTTATTACTGCTCTAATATAGAGACAAATTAGAATAATGTGGCTTTGCTAATTTTAGGCTTCCTTCTGTAAATGAATGAAGATTTGCTGTCTTAAAACATTTGCATTCCATCCCCCTTTAAAGTAATTTTCAATTTTGCTGGATACAGCACAACTGCATCCACTCTTTCAGCTGCAACGGGTTGTTGAAATTGAGCTATTGCCCAGCACCTGCTCTTAGTCAGACAGCTCAAATCAGAGGTTAGGGGAAAAAATAAAGATTTTATGTAATTGTAATGCAAGTCTCCTTTCAGCTTTGCTGCAGTCAGTGTTCAATTATGTTCTGTAACAATCTCCATTACTAGAGCCAGTGTTTTTCTGTTCCTTCCTGCATGCATTAACTCTCTTGTTTGCACGTGATAGCCTCCTTAGCAAAGCAGAGGAGTCTTAAGAGACATTTATCCATAAATTTAATGATCCTACATCTTTTTCTTTGCCTGCTGAGGATCCTGGCGTTCAAGTGTATTTTCATTTTGAATGCTCCAAAGGAAGATAACCGGTATAATGTAAGTTATTTCTCAACGAAGGCCTAATAGGTCAAAATTAGCCTAAAATTTCACCTAGTCTACTGAGTACAAACAACAGAGCAGGTTAACAATGAAGGGCTCCCCATGTAATTTTTTTTGTATGCTATTTTTACAAGCACGAGATCCTACTCATTCAGAATTTTTATTAGCTCACTCTGTGGCCAAGTTGTTTAAGACTTCGTCAGAAGCAGGATCCACATCTGTAGGAGAAAAGTGATGAAGAGTTCATCTAGCAAGGCTTGACAGCAAATGGGAAGGAAGTAGCTGGTGTGAGCATCTACTGGGAATTAAGGAGGGGGATTTTTGCTTTTAATATTAGAGAGCTAGAAATTCATGGCGAGAGAAAGCTGTAACATAGAGGCCAGAGGGTGAACAACATAGAAATTTGGGATTTGGGGAGATAAAAATCCAGAGCAGGTGATTAGAGTGAGGATTTGAATAACTTGGAGAAGGAGAGGTTTTATTATATTATCAACACATTATCATAAATTGACCTTGAAAAGAAAGGACAAACATAGGATGGAAAAGTTTGTGCCTAAATAATAACCTTTTAGACAAGCGGAGATGGTAGAAAACAGCAAGATGCAGACTCCTCATTTCTTTTAGGAGTCTCAAGTATTTCTTTTTTCTGCCTCCCATGAAAGCTGTGGTCACATGGCTGATTCTCAGCTGTCAGGAAAGGCCAAAAAATTCTAACAGTCACGGTGGCAGAGAAAATCCTGAAAATTCAAACCCTAAAAACTTAGGAACAGTATAAAAAAAAACCATCACCACTTACTTTTTATAAAACTAATTATCTGGATGCAGACTGTCTTATAGTTTTAATATAAGAGGTAGTACTAGTGTAAAGCCAGCAGTTGCTTTTTAAGCACTGACAGCAGCCAGAGATCCAAAAAAAAAAAATTTTCCAGCTGATCAGCTGATACCATGACCATCATCACCACATAACAAATGGCACCATGAAATTATGGGTAGCACAACCAAAGACGTCACACATTCTTATATTCTGTATCTTACAGCCCCTTCCCCACAACGCAGAAGCAAATTCAGCGTTGCTTAGGAGCACAAGAGTGGCTGCTCCAATAAGAGCATACTCAGAGCTGGGAAAGGTGCAGGCCTCATGCAAGGACACACTAAATCCTTAGTCCCAACAAATAAACCACTACTAAGAAATCTATATTACATGAAGACTTCTGCATGAGGCTTCAGATTCCAAATCAGCTATCCATGTCTAATGCTTTGGGCTATACTGCTAAAAACTGCATAAAGATTAGGATTCTCTTCCCAGTATTTTTCCTAGCCTTACTATTTTTCAGTGCAATCTGACACTAAACTGTGACTCTGATTTTCCTATTTACTATATGCAAGAGCAAACAAATAAGAAAGAATCAAGCTGGAATTTTTCCAGGCATATTCAGAATAATTATTCCAAGTAACTCTCCTTATCTTTGTCCTTGTGGATTTGAACACATCCTTGAGAAATCTGTCCCTCATTCCATATTCATCAGAATAGAGGACAAAACAGTTAAAACCAGCATGCTCAAACCGAGTCTATAACCTTGCAGAGACATGTACTCTACGTATAATAATTTACCACTTTCTTATTGATGCTACAACCACCATTCATTCCTAACTTCCACTTTCCCAGTGTAGTACATCAGAAAGAAATGGCAGATTTGCCAGATCGGTCAGAAGTGCTGCTGTAGCTGCCAAAAAATCCTTTGGCTGATTCCACCATTTCATAATCATCTTCAATTTCAGTGCAGAGTCTCATCCAAAAAGCCTTCATGTCTCGGTCCCTACCACAAAAGAGAAAGATCAGAAGACCTGTTATCAACAGCAATATAGAAAGCATCCATATCCATACTTCTGTGCTAATAGTCTCACTTTGAATAAAAGAAACAAAAAGCAATCTTGAGGGATCCCCCCCTCGCTTCTTGCAGTTTTCAGAGCTCTCCAGACATATCACTAAATATTCATAGTTAACGTCGTGAGGATGCATACAGATTAAGAGCCACATGAACTCTGAATACTCATCAATTTTCAATTTTCAAGGTTTTTCTTACTCTGTTTTCTTACTCTGTTTTGTCATATTGTTTTTTTAGTAACGTAAGATTTAAAAAGGAACTGATGATACAGTTTGTATTTAAGCAAGTTCTTACCTAAAGATCTACTAATTCCTTTCACCAGCATTAATGCCCTCCTGAGAAGCATTGCTGACTCCTAGAATAGCTACATCAAAAACATCAGTCCATTCAAGACACAGGCTGTAACCTGCTCAACCCAGAACATACCCCAAATCTTTGAATCTGAAATACAAAACCAAGTCCTAGGAATATTACTGAGTTCTGCCTCACCAGAATCACTTTTGAACAGGCACATGTTGTGAAGGACATAACAAAGGGAATAGTTAAGCATCCCACAGACACACAAACCATTTATCAGTCTAAAGATCACATCACCTTCGTTTAATCCTTACTGCAAAGCCCTACTTCGCCTTGCTGTTGCCATTCTTTGCCACTCCTGCTGGAGCCACAGTACTATCTGGAACCTGATGAACTGTGAGCCCCACATGCTGTTTATTTGCTGCTTCGTGACCATTGCCTAAAGAAACGTGATTTCAAATTTCATGGTCCTGCAGCTGCCAGGGCAACTTATCCTGCTCGTATTAGGCAAGGGGCATTTCTGACTTGATAAAGAAATGAAATGGGTGAGTAAAGGAGTGCTCTATTTCTCTTTAGCTGCTAAGTACAGGATTTAACCTAATCAACACTTCTCTGGGGTAAGAACCTCATCCTGTGCTGTGGTTTTTGGTGTTTTGCTTTGTGTTATGTTTGGCTTGGTTTTTTTTCAAGCCTGCAGGGTTTCTTTCCCCCTCCCTCTTCATGTGTTCAAGATGAGAGAAGCTTCAGTGAGCACAGCTACCGGTACTCCAATTTATTCAGCAGCAACCCCTGTGGACTGCTAACAGCAGAATGCAATTTTGCTTGGATTATAAGGTGTAGATAAGTAATTCCATCCTTAATCTATCACTGTCAGTGCAGACAAGGGAAGGACTTTTACCTAGGAGAAATCAGGCAGAGGAAAAAATATATATAATGTATGGGGTAAAAGGACAGCTGAAATAAAGCAAGGATACAAGTGCATGCAGAGGGAAGCAGGAAAAGAAGAAATGAGACAAAGGACCAGGGTGCTAGAAGAAAAGTAAAGAATGTGATGAAGGATCTAGCCAGGTTCAAAGCAGAAATTCTCAATAGCAATGACAATTCCACTTCTGGCATAATCTATGCCTTCTATTAAACATCCCCAGAGTGAAATGGTAGAGATGTTTGAGACCTTGGTAAATGCTGATGGATAGTACTTTACATTTACATTATAGACATGATCAATAAATCTCAAGTACATCATAACAAAGCCTCAAAGCCTTCACATACAAACCTGTCAGTAAACTGGGACAATATTACAAATAGACAAGGATAATACAAAGGTTGCACAAATAGAACAGAATCACAGAACAGAAGGGGTTGGAAAGGAACTCTGGAGATCATCTAGTCCAAACCCCCGCTAAAAGTAGGTTCTGTGGAGCACATTGCAGAAGAAAGCTTCCAGGCAGGTTTTTAATATATCCAGAGACGGTTTTAAGTTGAAGGAGGGAAGATTTAGGTTGGCTATCGGGAGGAAGTCCTTCACCAAGAGAGTGGTGAGATGCTGGAACAGGCTGCCCAGAGAGGCTGTGGATGCCCCGTCCCTGGAGGTGTTCAAGGCCAGGTTGGATGGGGCCTTGGGCAGTCTGGTCTAGTATTAGATATGGAGGTTGGCAGCCCTGCATGCAGCTGGGGGGTTGGAGATTCACACTGTTGAGGTCCCTTCCAACCTGAACCATTTTGTAATTCTCTGAGACTCCACAACCTTGCTGAACAGCGTGTTCCAGTGCTCTGTAACCCACAAAGTAAAAAAAAAAAAAACCCACATTCTCATGTTCACACAGAACCTCCCATACTTCAGTTTGTGCAAGCTGCCCCTTGTCTTGTTGTGGAGCATCACTAAAACAGCCTGGCCCCATTCACTTAACTCCCACCCATTAGAGATTTCTAAGCACTGATATGTTCTCCCCTCAGCCTTATCTTTTCCAGGCTGAACAGACTCAGGGTTCTCAGCCTGGAAGCCAGAGAGGGACACAACATCAGGAACTGGTATTTATATGATGGTTTTTTTGGAGGAGGCTTGCAGAAGGTTATTCCTCCTAGATGTAGGACTCTACACTTGTTCCTGTCGAACCTCATCAGGTTCCTTCCTCCCTGCCCAACTCTCAGCCCGTGCAGTTCTCGCTGAATGGCACCACAGCCTTCTGGCGTGTAAACGAAGACGCAATAACACTCCCACCCCCGGCGTCCATTAACTACAACAGACGACTCCGCACCGGACCACCAAGCGCATGAGCAGAGCAGCCCGAGCTCTCCGGCCGCCCGTCAGGCGCATGCGCAGGAAAAGATCCCGCCATGCGTGTGAGTGTGAGCGCTTGTGCCTGGAAGATGCCATTGCTTGGAAAGGAGATAGGTGTAAGACAGAGGCTTTTCTACCTCACTCTCGCTTGTCTTTTCGCTTCTGAGTGCTTCCAAACTCCTATTCTGTAGACTTTTGCCCACAGCTTTATTATTTTCTACCCTTTTCCAAGTGAGTTAATTTTGGCTACGCGGTACTGTCCCCTGTGCTCTGCCCAATGACAAGTCGGTTCCCCATACGCAGGTAGTTGCTGGGCAGACAACATCCCGCGTAGCCATCCGTCCCACAGAGGCACCGCCTTCCGAGCGGTCTGCCCCGCCTCAGCCACAAGAAGGGCCGGGACCACGATTTGAGTGACAGGACGCTCTGAGGGCGGGCAAAGACACCGCAGCCAATAGTCATTCCTGCTAGCCTTGACGAGCAGAGCTCGCAGCCAACCGGGTTTAGCGCGCCGGAGGAAGGCGGGGCGCCCCGTTGCTAGGGCCGCGCTGTTGCTAGGGCCGCGGCAGAGCGCGGTGGCGGCTGCCGCCGCCTTCCCGACCCGCTACCTCCGCCTCCGCCTTTCTCGGGCCGGGGTGATGGTGAAGCTCTCCGCCAAGTGCCTGCTGGCAGGTGAGTCTGGCTTCCTCAGCGAGGCGGGAGCTCTGGGAGGGCGGGCCCTGCGGCCTGGCAGATCGGCAGGGCGGCATCCCCGGGGGATGGGGCGGTGGTTACCGCCTCCCCTGTTCGCGTGGGAGGGCGTGAAGCGCGGTGCGATCGGCTGGGGAAGGGCAGGGTCCGGAGCGAGTGGGTGTGGGAGGATGGGGGATGAGGGGAAGGGCGAAGAGAGCCTGCTTCACGAAGGCTTCTTTTTCCGCACGTGAACTGGAGGTTAATCTGAGGGGGGGGGAGGGGAAGTGAGGCGAAGACGGAGCTTTATTCAGTCAGGATGGATTAGAGGTGCTGAGAGCGAATTCAGCCGGCCTTCCTGCAGCAGCAGGAAGGAAAGGCTCACCGTTGAGCCCGTGGTATCAGCCAGGAGCACAGAACCAGAACGCCTTGCAGTGCAGACAGCTCTCCGCTTAACTCTTTGCTCCAAATGTGTTTTCTTCCATCCAGAATTAAATCTTCGTGGTTTTGTTTTGTTTTGTTTTTGTTTTTGCTTTTTGCTTGGAAGCAGGTAACTTGTCAGCTTGCACAAAGCCAAGTGCAAGCTTTGGCAAATGCAAAAGAGCGTTTCTCCCTGCTGCCCCCGTTGACAGTTACCATGGACAACATGAATGCCTTAACCATCTTCAAGATTTGCACATCACTTCCCGTTTGGAAGTTTCCAGGTCGCAATATAGGTTTTCTTTAATCAGCCGCCCAGGCTGATTCCATGACACTCCTGAACTCACACAGGTTTTCTTTGTGTGACTCAGTTATGTTCTTAATCCCTACTGGGTTTGAAGCTGCCCTTTCGGTTCTGTTCACAATGCAAACAACAGAAAGGCTCTGTTCTGTGTCCGCTTGTAGTGCTCCTAAGTACTAGGATAGTATGTGTATCTTGTTGAAAATAAGGAATTAATGCAGCAGACCAAGCAAAATAACTTCTTTCTTCCAGGAGAGACGACTATAATGAAATAGATGTAAGAGGCGAGAAACCGCAACCTAGAGAGAACAAGAGAATGCAATTACATTGGTAGAAGCAAAAACATGTGAGGTAGATCAAGAAACTCTTGTGTACCTAAGGAAATGATTGTGAGGAATAGAATGGCTGACAGTATTGGGAGCTGCACCGAGGTCAAGAGAACAACAGAGGGGAAAAGACTTTTGTTAGTAGAGGAGAGGCTATTAACTTGACAATAGAAAGCGATTCCTGTGTTATCTCAAGGGTAATTTACAGACACAGACCAAGATTGGAGCTTACTTTGGAGACACCATGAAAGGGTTTTCTTTGTAAAAAAAAGATACTTGTCGGTAGCAGGCATTTTAGAGACATGCAACAGTTTCTGGCAGAATAACAGAAATATGGGTGGAATAAATTCTGTGGGATGCAGTATTTGCAGATGAGACCAGACTAAACGGAAAATGCAAGGAAACTTATTTTGAGAAAGAAGTGCAATGATGTAATGGGCAAAGAAAACGGCAAAGAAGAAGAAAAGAGGAGGGGAAAAAAAAGCTGAGGCTGTCAAATAAAAGAAAGGAACACATTAGGTAAGAATTTGCACCGAGTGTTGAAAATAAAGAAGCCTGCACAGTTTGTAGCAGTGTGTGCTTCTCTATCTTATTTTACAAAGACAGACTTAATTATCTATTGAAATACAGAATAGCTTCCACTCAGAACAGAGTGTTGTCTTCAGCACAAGCTTGAACTGATCAGGGAACAAACAAGCTGATTTACCAGATTTTCCTGTCTAAATATTATGAACCCAACTCAGCTCAAAGTAAGCAAGCATGCTAAAAACGTTTAAACAAGAACTGCTTTGGTTGATGCATCTGGGAGCAATTGTTAGTATCCAAAGTCCTCTTCTCTGAAATATCATGTGAGGAGATAACTTCCCAATCTCCTTCAAAACACCATCTATGAAGTTCTAATAGGGCAAAATGTACCCCTTTCTGAGTTTTATTACCAGTATAGCATAGAAGGTTTGTGTTCTCAGCTTGACTGTCACGAGTGTTCTTTTCAGGACAGAAAAAAGCTAGAACACTGAGATAGTTAATTCCTGGGTTTTGTCTCTTTTGAACTATCCAGGCTGCTGAAAGGATATGTGAAGAGAAGATAAGCTCCCGGAGAACATTAAGTTAAGTCTGTTTTGCAAGGACTGCGATCTGTTTCGTGGAATGATTTGGGCTTACGTGAATTCTGCAGTTCTCTACCGTCCCTTTAGGTCCTGCAGAACATTGTAACAGCAGGCCAAAGGGGCAGATACTTGCCCAAAGTGTTATGCAAGTGACACCAGTAAATCTTTGTTCTAGAGGAGCAAAAATGAAAGCCCTTTAGTTTGCTTTCCATACAGGGATGAATCAGCAGGCTTCCTCTCCAGCCAAGTGACATTTGCTTCTCTTATGCCCAGGATGCAACTAATGAGCCACCAGCAGCATTGAGTCAGCAAGAGCTGCTCACTTAGCAGGGTCAGCAAGAAGAGTTCATCGAGGAATGTTACCAGATTAAGCAGCTTTGTAGTATATGGAAGCCCTGCCTCTCCACTAAACTCATAACACTAACAAGGATTTGAATTTGTGGAAGTATGTATTTTAAGGAGAGATTTGTGGAAGTATATATTTTAAGGAGAGAAAAGAGCCTGTGAAGTTCAGTCTCCCTTATCATGTTGTCGGATTCTTTGTAACACCACTCCTGGAAAATGTGAGTTCTTAGGTAAAGGCTATAGGTTAGATTGCTAAACACAAATTCTAAAACAAACAGCAATTCAGCCCTGATATGGGAACTCTTTGCTATCGTTCACTGAGCAAAAACCTGATTTCAGCATCAATATGCATAATAACAATATTTATTTCATTACATGGGTAGTACGTTTCAGGTTATTTTGTGATAGTTACCTTGTCTGCATTCAGAGTTGCAGTATTCAACGTCTTGTGGCATAAGATAGGATCAGAACTGAGGGAAAATAAGATTCTTTAACATGAACTTTTTATCTTTGGTTTTGCAGGTGATCCAGCTGTGGGGAAGAGTGCTTTAGCCCAAATGTTCCGCAGTGATGGGGCTCATTTTCAGAAGAACTATACATTGGTAAGTGCAAGTTACACGACAAGCTCAATCTGCTATCCAGCAACTTTTTCTAAGTTACACGAGATAAATAAGAAGCCTTAGAACAAAGTAAATCATACGGTTTGTTGAGGCATTCAAGGTGGGTCTTACAGTTTTCTTCGTCCTGCACCTTAGAGTCTGAAGAGAAATGATTTAACGTTCTGTAAGTTTTTACATTATGTGGGTGCTGGTTTTGAAACAGTGGTGAGTAAATTAGTTAATTGTTATAATTTTCCTTCTGACCCAATATTTTCCTGAGCTTTTGTGGTCTGAGAGAGTTCCCTCCCTTAGGAAATACTCTATGGAAAAGCATCACTGAAGGAGAAAGCTCTTAATTCCAACTATTCAGTGTGCATGTGGACGTTGTGCTTATCACTATGCAAACATGAAGATGTTCTGCATAGCCCCAAGATAATTATAATCTGCAGAAACTGTTCCCAGATGAAGAGGATACAGTTTGCAGTCTTTCAGTGAGATAATCAATGGTGATGACTAATCAGAAGCAGGATAAAAATAAAAGTAAATATAAGTAAAGTAAAAAAAGGAAAATATGAGTGCGGGGGAATAAAAAAAAACCAACCCTATATTATGTTTATTCATTGAAATAAAGATGGAAACCAGAAGTTAGGGATAGGAATAGAACAAACAAACAAGCTACAAAGCAGAATGAGATAAAAGGTGGAAGAGGCACAAATAACCTCAGTCCCATATGTTAGCTGATCACATGGTTGGTGCAAAATGTTCCCAGACTGCTTTAGAGCAGCAGTGTGACAATGAATGCAGCCCTACAGATTTTAAGTAACACGCTAATATACAAACAGAGCTCTGAACACTGGTACTCTTTTTCCCATTTGAGCAAACCTACACAGCTGTGACACGTAAGGAGGACTATGTTACCAAAGCTATGAGGAGCGCTGCTGAGTTCCCAGCAGTCTGTCTGATGGGATTGTAATGATTTGCAAAAATTGCCTCAATCTGATGCATAGTTGGTATGCAGTTGGGAAGGCTCTTAAAAACTCTTCTGATCCCTCTTTTCCTGATTCTTCTTGACAGACAACGGGCATCGAACTGTTGGTGAAGGCTATATCAGTTCCGGAGACAAGTGATAGTGTGGTGAGTTTTCCTGTGACATAAATTGGTCAGAAAGAGACATCTGGAGCTCAAGCCTCCCTTTCCATCTCATTCCATTAGGGGATTGCACTGTATCTTTGTAAGGCCATTAACTTGCAGTAAGGAAGCGAGACTGGTCACGTGCAATTTCTTGTGCTTGCTCTTGTGAAAGGTTAGCTTCATCTTAAAATGTGTTTTACATAGTTGTGTCTGAAAGGACGTCTTAAACCAAAGCTGTCGCAAGCACTTTTTGCTTTCTGTTCTGTCCTTCAGGACAATCAGGTTTAGTTCATGTTGCTTAGAACTACGGAAGATAAAACTGTTCCTCTTCCTTAAATACCCTGCACTTCCACTGCTATAGTGTGGACACGTGTGTCATTTTATACAAATAGTGAAAATGAGCTTTTTACTGTCCCACTCTTCCCAGTGTTCTGTTTCCAGCAGAGGTAGAAACAAGGCCTAGAGCCTTGGAGCTAGTCCTTCTATCATTTATAGATGAAAAAAATAGCCAGTTCTTTTATCATACTGTCTGAAGATGGGGTATGCATAGTGCCAAGAAGCATGTCTCTCAGGGACACGAGACTGCCGTACTGAACAAAATGCAGGGATGACAAGTTGTGGTATCTACTTTCAAAACCTTCCTTTACATTGCTGTGTTCCTGGCAAGAACCTTCTTTCTGCTTCTGCTTTCAGGAATTCTTCATTTTTGACTCTGCAGGCAAAGATCTATTTTCTGAGATGCTGGAGAAACTGGTAAGTGTTATGTAACAGTCCTCTTCTTCCAAAGGATTGCTTTTGCTTTGAAGATCTGAACTCCTCAGTCTGACAGATATAGCAAACTTTGTCTTTAGTGTAAATGGGAGCATTTACCTCAGTTGCCAGTGCTTCCTGTTCTACCTTTCTGAAACTTATAAAAGTGCTAGAACAAAGACTTTTAAGAGGAAGGAAAGCAGATAATCCTTCAGTTTTCTTACAAAAGAACTAGGGATTTTTAACTGAGAGTAACTATGTGCTGTTGGTTAAAGTATTTCTGTTTCTCAGAAGTACATTGATTTTGCTGCTACTTCAGCAGTGATGTTTTTTGTTTTATAATGATATCTTGATACAACAGGACACGTTTTTGTCCTTGAGCATAACACTGCCATTCACTGTTGTGTGTGGTGTTTTTTTTCCTTCAGTCATTCCTGTCTTTTCTGGTACAGTTCTCCATTGTGCTATCTCACTTGAAAGGTAGAATCGGTTAATTGATATGAAGTTTCCCAAGACAGCTAAGTCAACCTAATACTGCTCTACAAGAGGCAGTTGCACTGTTGCCCTTGCACCAGGTCTGATTTGCAAGGGACCCCTTTGGAAGCTGACTCAGCTTCTCAAACTGGCAGAAAACCTTTCTAATTTTTTTCTCTAGGATTAATTTTGTGCTGATTGAGCATGAAGAATCAGCTTCCCTGGGAATAAGATGAGTGCCAGAGCTGTTACAAATAAAGGAGCAGGACCATAAAGACAGAAATGAAGAAGTAAAGCAAGACTGTATCACTCAGTGCCAGCTATCCATTTAATCAACTCAACAGAGATGTGTAACCTCAGCTCAGGCATAGGTTTCCTGTGTGTTAGGCTTTTTATTTTTATCTTAGCATCTGTGTTTGCCATGCAGATGCGGACTGGCTGTTGACCACATTGGTTTCATTAGAGCTGACAATGTTCCTTTCTTGCTGTGCAGTGGGAGCAACCAAATGTCCTGTGCCTTGTGTATGATGTCACTAATGAGCAATCTTTCAGCAACTGTGCCAAGTGGCTGGAAAAGCTGAGGGCACAAGCAGTTGGAATGCACATCCCAGGTAAGAAATGGATGATATTTTTGCTATCTGCACCCCTCTTGTGTGGTAGCAGTTGTTTCTGTTGAGCTGCAGTACAGAGCATTTATTTTAAAGCAGGTGCAGGCCTGGCTTCCTTCAACTCGCAGTGCAGATAAAGACGTGTATATATTTTAGATCATTCCTTAGTGGAAACTTTTTTAGATAGTCATGTTTTGTTATGCCTCACCTCCAACTTTTTCAGGTGCTTCAGCAATGTCCCAGAATTTACTGGTAACAAATCATCATTTCTGAGTTGTATTTCCTTTGTTTCTTTTTCTTTTCTGCAGGTGTCTTAGTGGGGAATAAAACAGATCTGGTTGGTCGTCGAGTTGTGGAACAGAAGCAAGCACAGGAATGGGCTGACAAACATGGCCTGGAATACTGTGAGATGTCTGTAGTGAGTATCTGCTCTTTTCACCATCTATAGAAGTGGGAATTTGTAAAGTTATCTTCTCTTTAGCTGAGGATAAATAACTGGGGGCTCATTTCCACTTATTTGTCCTCTAACTCACCCTCTGTTTTAGTCTGTCTTTTGTGAAGCTGTTTGAGCAGAAATAGTAAAATGCTTATTTCACCTGTCATTTACAATTTTCTTTTTACAGAAGGAGATGAAAAACTTTGAGGCCCCTTTCAACATCCTGGCAAAGTCATTCTACCAACTGTACAAAGAAAAAGTGGAAACCTTTCACTCACTAGCTTGAGGGCCGTGACTGGGATGACTTAACTTCAGAACTTCTTCTAGTGCCCAGAATCCTATGGATTGGAATACAGAGAGAGGAAAAAAGATGAGCTTTTTGCTTCTTCACAGTCATCTTCTGGTAATTCAAAATAAACTAGAAATAAGCGAATGGAAAGACATTATTTTGGAATTGCTACCTTAGCACCCCCTTCATGTCCTTTACCTCGGTTCTCTGCTCACTGAAAGTCGGTTAGATTGGAAGAGGAGGGAATAAAAGGGGGAGGGCAGAATGGAAATTGCCAGCTTTTTGCCTTGATAATAGTGCCTTGTCTCATGTCTGAACAAAATTCCTGCAAGGATGTAGAGATTTGGAGGAGGAGAGAAGAAGCTGACAGCATATTTTTCAGCTTAAGCAACCCAGCACTGGTACATACGTTGCAGGGCAGGACTGATTCAGCCCTACTACTTGCAAAGCATTTTCAGTAGAAAGTCTGTGGCCTGAAATGGACACGTAGTTGGATTGGATTTAGGTGTGTTTCTGGGAACACCTGGAGTTTGAGGCCTATTTTAACAGTGTTATTCGTATCAGTTCTAGGATTGATATAGTGATGGCTAACATCTCTTTGTAATGCCAAGAATTTGGTTTTCTTCAACGGGGCTCTTCCAGTGCCGGTCTGTCTTGCACCTGTGCCATTGTCACTTGGTAACGCAGTGCCCTCTGCTGGACCTGGGTCACAAAATTTCTGAAGCAGCTACCTCTGAAGCAAGAAGGACTTTGTACAGTCTCACCCAAATTGGCTTACCTGTAAAATGAAGTCATATGGTGAGAATATGTCTTTTATTCCAGGGGCAAGTCTAAAACTGAAATTGCCCTTCGTTCTTCATGCATTTGTTATTTTATTTGTTTCTGTGTCATTTTGCATCTTGTCAGCTAAACTTACAAACATCACGTTCACATCTTCTCATAGGTTTAGCTCTCCATCCCTTACTAGCATCAGTCACCTTTGTTGTTAAACTTTCCCTGCTTATCCTTGAATTTCAAAGTACAAGCCATGATTCTGATTTCAGTTGTGGAAACAGGACTCAGGTTGAAAGACAAACTAGCTAAGTTAATTTGATTCAGCCACGTATAAATTTTGTATCAGAAAGGGTAAAAGCCTGGGCAGAACACTGTGTGAGATGGTGACATTGCATATGTAAGAATTGCTAATACTTGCTAATGCAGTATATGAAAACATCCAGTTATGTACTGCCTTGCAGCTGGACCTAACATTAAAGAGTTCGAAACTGTAGCACTTCTCTTCTAGAACTATTTTGGCCTCTCTTGGGTAAGGAAAGCTAATTTCTGAGGAGAATAAACACTAAGGAGTTTTTCAGGCAAGCTTTTCAGGAATCTGTGTTTCAATGCTTTTATACGTATATTTTATAACCACTTTTATGCCCAGTGCTAGGAATATGACTGCAGATGTTGTAGCAGAGTTTATGAAGCACTTCAAGAAGCTGCAATAGCAGCTGGGCTCATTTCACTGGCAACACTATGTTGATGCTGGGAATTAGCTAGGGAGCATGAACACAAGCTAAAGAGGTTAAGCAGGCCCTGAGCTTTCTGGAAAAGAAAATAAATAGGCTTGTTGTTGTTTTGTTTTGTTTTTCACAAATCCACTTGGGGGGGGGGGGGGAAAGACATAGCTGGAAAAGCCTTTATTTGAAGAAAAGGAGGACTCCTCCTTGGGCTTAGGGTCACTAGACACAACTCACCTTTTTTGGCTTGGGTTACCTTGTTAATCCTGAGGGTGTCTGTTGATTTACATAGGCTGAATGGAAGTTTGCCTGCAGATGCTAGTACCCCTGACTATTAGGAATAAAAGTTGTTTTGGATGTTGAACTGATCTACAGAAGGTAGTTCATTTCCTCCTATTTTTATTGATGATGTGATTGCAACACAAGACTTCTTTTTTTTCATCTTGAAAATAGCCTGCCAGCTGTGCCTGTCCCCTGTGATGTGGTACTTGGGGGGAAGGGAGGGGAGTGAATGCCTTAGGAATGGGTGATGAAATGAATCCTGCATGATCTCTAACGGGTGAGTTCAATCTCTCTGCGCCAGAAAGATCTCCCGTAACTTCAAATAAACAGCCTAAATACACCAGTAAGATGAAGATTGGTGAACATTGTTTTATTAAATGAACACAAAAGCTGGAGGATCTCATTAAGGGAGTGCTGGTAGTGATTTGTGATTTATTGGGAAGCTGCTTTTGATAGGTTAGTGAAGAAAAATGCATCCCATGCAGGGAAAGATGTATTGCCAGAGAGAGGAAATGTGTAATCTAATTAGCTAGCAGTAGGGATTCACCCACTGCCCCTGTCCTTCATTCTGCAGGCCAAGACTAGAAATAGAAAAGAGGTTGTGTCTAAAGCACATAGCCCACCTTGCTGTTTCCATTACTGTCTCCATCATTCTAATGCATTTTAAAAGCAGAATATATTCTCCTTTCTAGCTAACAGGCTATATAATAGCAGCGTGATGCAGGTGATGCTATTTTCCTAGCTTATTTGTGACCTTGGTTATAGAGACTAATATGAAGGGTGAATGGAGACCATGGGAGTCAGATACAACCAGGCTGTGGAAAAGTTTTGTCTATAAAGTGAGGATGCTTGTTTGCTGCTTAGCCTTTGCATCTCCCTGAATTACGGGTGCTGTGGAGGACAGGGGGAGGAAAGCAGAAAGTATGTCTGCTGGCCATTGTTGTCTTCTTACAGCTCCTCTACTTTGTCCAGCTATGCAGTGCTGTAGGTGTTACAAGGATAGATAATGGCAGGACAAGGGGAAGTGGTTTTAAGTTGAAGGAGGGAAGATTTAAGTTGGATTTTGGGGAAGTTCTTTACCAAGAGAGTGATGAGGTGCTGGCACAGGCTGCCCATAGAGGCTGTGGATGAACAACCCTAGAGGTATTCAAGGCCAGATTGGATAGGGCCTCGGGCAGCCTGGTCTAGTATTAGATATGGAGGTTGGCAGCCCTGCATGCAGCTGGGGGGTTAGAACTTCATGATCCTTGAGGTCCCTTCCAACCCAGGCCATTCTGTGATTCTGTGTGTTCAGCATGCGTGCTGACAACACAGAAGAACCCTAATTCAGCCAGAACTGAAATTTCAAAAGACAGGAGAGGAAACAAGCAGGCCTTTAACCAGGCCTTTAACCATCTTTAAGAAGTGTGTAGTCCTTTTTCCTGCTTGTTTTTTTTTTGTTGTTGTTGTTGTTTTTTTGTTTTGTTTTGTTTTTTGATTGGGGGAAAAAAGCTGTCTTTTCTCCTCAGAGTTCCTCCTGACCTTTCCTTTGGTCCTCATTTCTCATTTTTTTTACTGGAAAAAAAAATAAAAAAAGTTTACATAGAAACCTTTTTACACTTGTGCCTAGCTCTGTGTGGTATGGTACATCACCATTTAAAAAAAATTGTTGTTGTTTTATAACTTCTTCATTGGCTATTTCCAAGACTATAACACATTGTCTTAGGGAAATAAATGGATGAACAGAAATGGAATTTTAGTCAAGTTGTCTCTGAAGAGTGAACCTCATAAACTGACTGACGTTCTGAAATTTTACTGGAAATTCATTTTTGTAAAGTTGTCTAATGAAGGTTGCTTTCATAGTTTTGTTTTGTCTTGCCAGACATGTTCTACCATGGAGTGAAATGCAGGATATAAAACTCCAGAAAGATCAATCCTTGTTGTAGGATTTAATAAGAACTTCAAAGTTGATCATACAGTGATAATTTCTGTTCAATCTTAACAATGGAATGGTCACTGCTGTTCATAATAAAGCAACACATATACTGAAATGGGGCTGTCAGAACAATTTCTTCTAGAGATCTGTTCATTTTACAGACTTGAAACAAGAAAGGACATCTTTTAGAAAACTGATCTGATAAAGGATACTATTTGGTCCAGAGTTATTTCTGATATAACATCAGTGACTTAAAGGGCTGGATTTAGTTAGTTATGCCAATTGACTCCCCTGGGTAAGCTTCATTTCTTTACCTTCTATACATCTTGGACCAATCTGACCTGATAGCAAAAGACACATGATGTTGTTGAAAATGAAATACTGCCTTGGGGCAGAAGGATAAACTGTGGCCTCCTGAGGTCTTCCCAGCAATACTTTCTATAATTCTATTAGATTAAGTGGGGAAAGAAGTAGTGAGGAAAGCATAAAACAGGCTAAGTCATAAACTAGCAATTAAAGTGGGAGCTGGGCCGGGCTACAGCAGAAAATGTACAATCTATCCCAATTAAGAGCTGTATCTCAAGAGAAACCAGGAGCCTGATGCAGGTGCTGACAGCAGGGAAAACACTGCATTTCTGTTCTGTAGGCAGCAAATGCTTTCTACTGGTGCTTACCCAGATCCACGGGGGTCCGTACCCTGCTCAGGACTGTGCTCTGCTTTTAATAATTACTGTATCTATGATATTCAGCTGACAGCTGCTTGCAGTTGTTTTCTCATCTGCCTGTATAAAGCCAGCGGTCTGATGGCAGATCTCTGTTAGTAGAAGGAAGATGTGTCTGTTCTTGACACCATCTGTTATGGGACCCCTCCCTCTCTCCCGGAGTTCACAGTCTTTCTTTTTCCATTTCATCTCCACTTCTTCATGGAGAATAGCTACCACTGCTTGTTTTTAGCAAGTCATTTTTCGATCTTGTAGATGATACTCTGTGATCCTGGGGCTAAGAGGCTTCTAGGACCTTCTGCAGCAGAGGTGGATTGCTAGCAGGAAATATTCAAGGGCCATGTTGGCCCCCTCAGCGTTTCTCATAGCCTGAGGGCAAATCATCTCTCTGCTTCTCGCATCCTATTTTCTCCTCCTGCTGTCATCTTGCCTTGAGAACAATGTCTTCTGAGCCACTTGCCCTTGGCTCTGTTGACCTGGAACAGCAAGGCTTGGGGGAGGGAGAAAGAAGAGAGCATCTCAGTCTCCAGTCCTTTCAGGTGTTGTGAATTCTGAGGTGCTATGACTCCTTGTTGAAATCACCTGACAGGTGGGGATGTTGCTCAGTCTAGAGTGTAATTTTCTGGCAGGAGACCCCCAGCTGAGTCCCAGCAGCCTCATCTCGGCTCTTCAGAGCTTGCTGCAGTATAACTTTCATAGACATGGGTTGTTCTCATTCTGACTTGGAGCTGTGGTTGCTTATTGTTTTGTTTTGTTTTTACTCCTTGGGGGTCCTTCTCTCATTCTTCTGTCACAGCTTCACATATTTCTTCCCCTAGAGCTGTTTGTCAAGAAAAGTCTGGAATTGCTCTCTTTCCTGGTCTCTGAGATCAAATCCAAATTTGGCAATGTTTAAAAGGGAAATGTGACAGACCCTACATGTCAAACTGGGGTCAGGGATGGGGTCAGTTTAATGAGTTTCCCTCCAGCCAGATATGCATCAGTTGGAGAAATGTGGAGCCTGTTATCTTCCTGTACAAGTACTGGAAAAATATACGATGTGAAGACTTTCAGTCAGGAAGTGTGAGCAGATTAGGTACATAGGCAGAAGTGGTGAGCTGCTGTGCCTCAAACAGTGGAAATGAAGGAGCAGTAGGGGAATAGGAATGAATAGGAATGACTAGGGCCTATATTCCTTCATGAAAAACCCAAGGGATTTGCAGAGGGAGAGTGGGAAATGTGGATGGAAAGACCTAAGGCTTTTTCTGGCTTGTAGAGTTATGTACGGAAATTAAATGAGAGAAAACATAATTTATGCTTGAGCCGTTGAGGGAAAACAAGGATACAAGATAGTGCTGGATGACACTGCAGGTTGCAGAACAGGTGGTAAGAATAAATAACTGGATAGAAATTTGCAGGACTGAGATCTCCTGGTCGAGGTTGGTTTGGGGAATTCAGAGCCATGATGAGTAAGGTCAGTGGCAACCATGAGTTTAGGTTCAAGATAAAGGGTTTGCAGTAGACAAAGGCAGGTTGGATTAAAGCCTGTGTGACAGAGTTGGTGCTGGAGTTATGCAGCAATCGTGAAAACCCATAATAGTAAGCCTAGAGTAGCATGGGGAGATAAACACAGCAAGCTGTGATGTACTGAGGATCATATTCAGGGGAGACTGGAAAAAATTTAAAAAAAAAAAAAAAATAGACTACAGAGTCTACTGGTCTGAAAGGCTGGAAAAATGTGGAGAGATTGGAAATTCAGATTGAGTGCAATTCTTTGATAGGATTTCTGAGTGCAAGGAAAGAAACACCTATAATTACTGCCTGCAAATTTTTGTATTATTTAAAAAGACAAAAAAAAAGGTTAGATTCTTTTAGCAGAAGCTAGGGTGATACACTTGCTTAAACCTCTTTTTTTCCTGGGGGAGAGGATGGAGAGACTAACATATAGGCTTACTCATAATTGTGCTGCACCATATATTATATCTGTCCAGTCAGAGAATGGAAAGAGAACCTTCATCTCATTTGACATTTGACCAAGCAAAAGTGACCACTACAACTTCAGGATTGACATTTCACAACAGAAACTCTTCGTGACCAGCTAATAGAGCAGAGGGCCTCCTGAAAATATCAGTATTAACCTCAAAGAAGTACAAAATGCAATGTGTATGTGGTCAATGTAAAGCAGATAGAAATCACCCTGTTTGTGAATTTGCTACTAACTGTAATAAAAATGCCTTTAGCTGCGAAAGAGTG